GTCTCACCCCCAGCGATGCACGTAGACGACACTCATTCCACCTCCATTTTCTCTCTCCTTCCCCAGCTGTTCGACCGAGAGACGTGCACGTACACGTACCTACTCGCCGATACCAACACGAAGGAAGCCGTGCTCATCGACCCCGTGATTGACTTGGCCGAGCGCGATGCCAAGCTGGTGGAAGAACTGGGACTCTCGCTCAAATACGTCAGTGAGTGCTGGAACTGGCATGGCGTTATCGGGGGAATGGGGAAGGGGGTGTAGATGGGGGGGATGGGGGGAGGATAAGGGGAGGATAAGGGGAGGATAAGGGGAGGATAAGGGGAGGATAAGGGGAGGATAAGGGGAGGATAAGGGGAGGATAAGGGGAGGATAAGGGGAGGATAAGGGATGAAAGAGAGAGAGAGAGAGAGAGAGAGAGAGAGAGAGAGAGAGAGAGAGAGAGAGAGAGAGAGAGAGAGAGAGAGAGAGAGAGAGAGAGAGAGAGAGAGATTATTACAAGAAATAGGGTGATGGTATCTTCTCCTGTTTCGAAAAGAAACCATAGATTAGAAAGTAATTGCCTTTCTTCTTCAGTGAATACCCATGTTCATGCTGACCACATCACTGGAACAGGCCTCCTGAAGAAGCTTGTGCCTGGCTGTCAGTCAGTCATAGCAGAGGTAATATATATTGTTGGTGGAATAGAGAGAAAAGAAGGGAATTTTTTTTCCAAAATGTTATGACATACCTCACCCATATATTCATTTCTAATTCATGAAAATAATCCTCAGATACACATTAAAGAAAGCAATTTGTTTATTCATTCATTTATTTTTATTTTGTATACATAACAGGTCTCAGGAGCAGAAGCTGATAAGCTTGTCCAGCATGGAGAAACTGTGCAGTTTGGTGAGCATGAGCTCGAGGTCAGATGCACTCCAGGTCACACAAATGGTATGGATTACATTTCCTCTTTGAATTGGTTCTGAAGCTTTTTTTTTTTTCTTTTAGCTAGCTTGTATTGATTTCTGGTGTTGTATTTTTAAGCTGTTTCGTTTTCAATATATACAGAGTGAGTGAATGAATACACAGATTTTCTTTCTGTATTCAAAATAAATAGGTTCAACCACATATTGATTATTTCTTTAAAGATTCTTCATAAGCTTCCAAAAAGGAGTAAAACTCATTATCTCATTTCATCGAACCAGGCTGTGTGACTTATGTTAGCCACAACTTGAAGTCCGTCTTTACTGGCGATGCTCTCCTGATCCGGGGGTGTGGGAGGACCGACTTCCAAGAGGGCAGTGCAGAGAAACTTTATGAATCTGTGCATGGCCAGATTCTCAGCCTTCCTGAAGAATATGTTGTATACCCAGCTCATGATTATAAGGGTGAGAAAAGTTGGTTTAGTAATATAATTTTAAAAAGGGGAAAAAAAAAATACAGTTGCTGCAGTTAAACCTGTCTCAGAATAGTTTGTTGTTCTTTTTGTTCTTGTGTAGTTTTTATTTTCAGTATATGTTTTTTTTCTTTTCATTCTACAGGCAATACTTCATCATCTATTGGTGAGGAGAAGCAGTTCAACCCTCGCCTTACCAAGCCGAAGGATGAATTCATTGAGATCATGAACAACCTTGGTCTGCCATATCCCAAGAAGATTGGTAAGCAGTTGGATTCATTTATTTAATGTTTCTATTCTATGTTTTTATTAAAATTTTATTTTCATTATTATTTATATATATTTATTTTTTTATGTTTTCTTGGATGAAGTTTTGAACAAGACTATGTACTTGAATTTATGTAATAGGAACTGTTAAATCTAATAACATTTCACAAATCTAAACATTCAATTCATATATTCTTATGATTTTTTTTCCCATTATTTAGTATTTTCATTTTGATATTCTCTCTTATGTTTCTTTTCATGTCAATATAATATCTCTTCCTCATGGGTGGAGAATTTGGTACTAGATGTACATTTGTCTGATCATACATTTTTAACATGTAAATATTAGGGCGGTTGGTGATGGTGATAACAGAGAGGAAGAGATTGAGAATGGAGGGTAACTGAATTTGAAGAAATATAAATTTCACACTAGGAAGTTGAAGAGGCAAATAAATGTTCTAGCAAGAATATTCAGAAGTCTCGAGTATCAACAGTAAAAGTTAATAAATTAATTTTTGCAATTGGTTGCCTAACTCATAAAAAAAGGGAATAAAAGAGGTAATGGATTTTACTTCTGAAGGTTGGAACCAATATTATTCTTCCTTTCTTCTCCAGATATTTCCCTGCCACCAAACAAGGTCTGTGGACTTTACAACTTGCCAGATGAACTTGCTGCAAAGTTGGAGGATTAATGAAGTGGTCAGGAAATGACACTGAATGAAAAAAGAAATTTGAATATATATTTTAATTCATTGAATATGTATGTTTTTTTTCTGTTGTCAAGGTCTATTTAAAAAAATTAAATCAAAGGTGTTGGTTAAGCTATATTTACTAATATTAGCGAAAATATGTGATATGTATGGGATAATATGGAATGGATAAAAGATTTATAGGATTGGATAACTTGGGAAGTATTTGCCAGAGAAATTTGCAAGGTAGATCATGAAAGAATTGAACCAAGCTAAAAAAAAAAAATAATGTTAATAGCACAGATTCTTATTTGAGTGTCAAATGAGTGCAAGCAGTAACAGCTTTTATATCCCAAGCAATTTTCTGTGATTTCTTTTCCCAAATCTTTTGTCTGTGTGATTTGAAGGCAGAAATTAAAATGTCCTTTTCATGATTGAGGTAGACAATATTATTTTTATAAATAATTGGAACATATTTAGGGAAGATAGTGATATTACTACAAAGCAAGCTGCAATAATGTTCATGATCCGAGTATAACACATCGTTGCTCAAGTCATTTTATTAGTTTTTATCCTTGTATCCTGTAATAACTGTCATAAACACCTCAGATAACATTAATCCTGCACAAGCTTGAACCAGATATGTGTTATTGCATTTAAATGACAATCTAGCATTACCCAAATATTTTTAGATATGAAGGAAAACAGTAGTTACCTTTTTTTATTTAAAAAAATCAAATATAACACAGTACACTTTTTACACAAGAGCAATTTAGTCTACAAGTAGTGATGGTATTATAATGCACTTTTGGTTATGGAAATAAATGGTATATTTATATCTTTTCCATTGCTTCTTATTATCCAGCAGAATTATGAAGTACAGGGTATATGTATAATTGTCCAAGTTATTTACTGATAATTTAATAAACTGAACTAGTACATAAAGGTTAAAATATTCTTGGAATGGTAAGTTTGTTCCACCTCTTTGAGTAGCTTATTATTTTAAAAAATGTAGATAGTGGTATGTACAATGAAGAAGTATGAGAACCAATACTGTTTGACAGCATTGTGGCCTATGGGATGTGAAATAGCCCACTGACACAAACAGGACAAGCTGTGGGTAAGTGAAGTTGTGCAGTGACAGATATTTTATATTCAATATTTTGATGAAATGACTAAGAGAAGTAACTTTTTCTATTAAACGAAATAAAAGGTGATATAAACAAAAGAGGTGAAGTAATTTTATGCTCAGCTGACTTAATAATCATCAGTACTTTGAAATAATAATGGAAAATTTGGAACAATTTGCCTTCTGGCAAATACGTCTGAAATTTTCTTTAATTTTTTTTAAGCAATATTTTCTTTTTTTTCAATTAACATCCATCAGAATTTCAAGGTATACAGGATAAAGATGTATACCTAATTCATATAAAGAATAAGGAATGTGAGTGATACACAGTATTTTATTTTATGACAATAATTTCATCACATACATGATTCAAGACACATGTATAAAGCATTCACACTATCTTGCAAAATGGTTCCCCATTACAGCATTCACAAAATGTCAGTTTGACTATCACAGAACATTTTACCATTTCCAAATAGTATCATTTCACTACTAAACAATTAAGTTACTTCTGAAAAATCTTTATACATAAATATCAACATGAAATGCCTGGTGCCCTGAAAATGCGACCAACTCACAACAATAACACTGAAGTGCATTGCATCAATAAACTTTGCTTCTTAATGATTTCTTGCCATCTTGCATTAAATACAGCTGTTCTACATTTTCAAAGATATGTAAGATTAGTGTAAAACAAAACAAAAAAATTGTAAATGATTATTGTTAAGAAATTACTACTAATATATGAAAGAAGTTTGCCTTGCACCAATTTTAAATAATTAAAAACTATTCTTCCCCTTGCCAAGTACATCATTTACAAGGTTCCACTCAAGATGAATTCTAACATTTGTCGAAAGTGTTACATGGAAGACATTTGTGAAAAAAGCAAAATAAATAAAATTGGCAATGCATATGAGTAACTAAAATGTATAACAGCTTCTTTTCCCTGCATAAGTTAAGCTTAACCACAAAGTGTAATCAAAATCGAGGTCTAGGACTTCGACACATCATGGACTGTAGACTGACTTGTGGAAACTGATGGAACTGTTTGAGTTGTACCTCGTATTGATGCTGGAGACACTATTCTTGCTAGCACAGGCTTTCCTGTTGGATCAAAATGAAATATAAATCAGTAAAACCAACAAGAAAATATATATAAAATTATGTTGCGCTGAAGAACCTGTGCAAGGGATGCTCACAAAAGATCTTTGTAAAATCTGAAAACCTAGAACACTATTTTCTAACCAAAGATAAATATTTATGAATAAGAAACTGCCCATAAGAAAAAAAAAGTTTGCCTTGCACCAATTTTAAATAATTAAAAACTATTCTTCCCCTTGCCAAGTACATCATTTACAAGGTTCCACTCAAGATGAATTCTAACATTTGTCGAAAGTGTTACATGGAAGACATTTGTGAAAAAAGCAAAATAAATAAAATTGGCAATGCATATGAGTAACTAAAATGTATAACAGCTTCTTTTCCCTGCATAAGTTAAGCTTAACCACAAAGTGTAATCAAAATCGAGGTCTAGGACTTCGACACATCATGGACTGTAGACTGACTTGTGGAAACTGATGGAACTGTTTGAGTTGTACCTCGTATTGATGCTGGAGACACTATTCTTGCTAGCACAGGCTTTCCTGTTGGATCAAAATGAAATATAAATCAGTAAAACCAACAAGAAAATATATAAAAAATTATGTTGCGCTGAAGAACATGTGCAAGGGATGCTCACAAAAGATCATTGTAAAATCTGAAAACCTAGAACACTATTTTCTAACCAAAGACAAATATTTATGAATAAGAAACTGCCCATAAGAAAAAAATTACTACTAATATATGAAAGAAGTTTGCCTTGCACCAATTTTAAATAATTAAAAACTATTCTTCCCCTTGCCAAGTACATCATTTACAAGGTTCCACTCAAGATGAATTCTAACATTTGTCGAAAGTGTTACATGGAAGACATTTGTGAAAAAAGCAAAATAAATAAAATTGGCAATGCATATGAGTAACTAAAATGTATAACAGCTTCTTTTCCCTGCATAAGTTAAGCTTAACCACAAAGTGTAATCAAAATCGAGGTCTAGGACTTCGACACATCATGGACTGTAGACTGACTTGTGGAAACTGATGGAACTGTTTGAGTTGTACCTCGTATTGATGCTGGAGACACTATTCTTGCTAGCACAGGCTTTCCTGTTGGATCAAAATGAAATATAAATCAGTAAAACCAACAAGAAAATATATATAAAATTATGTTGCGCTGAAGAACATGTGCAAGGGAAAAAAAAAAAAAAAAATTACCTCTTTGCTGCTGAGTAACTTGTGATGCTGGAATAACTTTTAAGGTCTGGAACGCTTGCAAACCCTTCAGATTCAGGTGTGAACCCTGTAAGGCAGACGCAGGAAGAACAATCTGCTGCCCTCCTGTTCCACTTGCCACAACAACTGCACCCTGACTGCTTGTCACCTGAGCAGTCTGTGCTCCTGCTTTGACATTTCCTCCAGTCAGCATTACCTGGAATAAGGGACAACAAAAAAAAAATCATTGCACACTTCCAAGTAAAATTTAATATTCCAAAGTAAACTTGTAGGAAATCATATAGTGTCTGATATACATGTTGAAATAAATCCTTGTATACAACTGACTTGAAACTAAATGAGCCACACTTATGCTATAATATAAATAACATTTTCTCCCTAAACTGTGGAAGAACTATTTTCAGTGTGCATTCAACAGACCATTTTATGGTACATTTTCTCTTTGATAGCCTGTATTTCTGACAAATATTCAAAGAATATTTCTAAAGCAACATACAAATATTGCCTATCCTTGGCAAATCATGTTGCATAAATTTAATGTAGGAAATGTATTCTTTTTGTTAATTAGACAATGTTTTCTGATGACCTAATATCAGATATATGCTATTTTTTCATAAAGGTAAAGAGACTTACATATGTACCAAACAGCAAACCTTAACCAAAAATTAAAAGCAAAACACTGGTAATTCACCTGCTGCAGCTGTCCTTGTTGAGCAAAAGGCTTAGATGTGAGCAGCACTTGCTTGCCACCTATTGTAATGAGGTTCCCTGTGGCTGTAGAACCACCAGCTACAACAGAAGCTGTCCCAGCTGTGCCACTGGCGCCAGGCTGAACTAAACGGATTCCACCACTGGCGAGGACTGATGGTTTTCCAGCCACATTCAGACCCTGCAAAATAACTTGTCAGTTTGTTTTCTGTCAAGATTCGTTAAATGAAACTGCTTTTTTCCTTAATATTTTGTGGGGCTTATTAATAATAGCTGTGAGTAATTTTCTTTGGTAACTTAGCTGCTATGCATCTAAACACTATTTCAACTAGTCACTTATCAGTAATTGATACCCATTATATAAAAAAAAAATTATATATATATATATATATATATATATATATATATATATATATATATATATATATATATATATATATATATATATATATATATATATATACATAAAATCCTAGAAGTACAAATAAAATCTTAATGAACAAAAATAAGACCTCTGCCACCATTACACAAATTCTTCCATTCCATTATCCCTTCGTGAGTTGAGTCATACCTGAACAATAGTTTTCTGCTGCTGACCAACGGAGAAGAATCGAGGCTGGGTATGCTATGCATCTAAACACTATTTCAACTAGTCACTTATCAGTAATTGATACCCATTATATAAAAAAAAAAATTATATATATATATATATATATATATATATATATATATATATATATATATATATATATATATATATATATATATATATATATATACATAAAATCCTAGAAGTACAAATAAAATCTTAATGAACAAAAATAAGACCTCTGTCACCATTACACAAATTCTTCCATTCCATTATCCCTTGGTGAGTTGAGTCATACCTGAACAATAGTTTTCTGCTGCTGACCAACGGAGAAGAATCGAGGCTGGGTGTTGGAGCCTCCCATGCGCGTGGAGGTTATGGGTGCGGTAATGACTTGCGTAGTGTTGCTGGTGCTGGTGGGTGTAGTGGGTGTGGTTGTGGTGGTGCTTGTAGTTGTGACAGCCCCAAAGCTGCTTTGCACCACGTGAGTGCCAGGCTGTAAGGTCTGGATGGTCTGAACCACCTGAGCCTTATTGCCAGACCCATCTATCTTCCCTGCCTGAGGAGAGCAAACACAGCTGTGAGTGGGAGGTGCTTGGAGACAACAAAAGAGGGGAAATGTCAAAGGGAATCCATTCTGAACACTACCTGATTCACATCATCCCATGCAAGATTATTTTAGATTAGTAGTGCCATTGCAACTCCAAGTCTAAAAAAGATATCTACAGAAAAAAATTAAAAGTAACCACTATCAGTGCAAAATACATATGAGAAATGAAATGACAAATGTGGGATGAAAGCACATACAACTTGTAGAAAAAAAATTGTCCCTATATAACTTTTCTCAGTGATAAATAATTACACCAATAAATATATAATTTTAAAATAAATGTACCCTATACCCCCTTTCCCCAGACAGTTCTTATCTCTAGTGTCATCTTCTCCCCATTCTGCCCCTCCTGTGCCATACAAACACATCAGACCTGTGAACTAGTCGCCAAAACAAGCCTCTGGTTGGCTGCATTGAGAGGAAGATGTGATCCCTGTGGAGACACGAGGGTCAGCCTCTGGACACCACCTGCTCCTCCTGCCAGCTGGATCACATTTCCTCCTGCTAGCTTGTTTCCTGCTACCGTTGTTACAACCCCACCTGTTGAAAAGCAGAGGGTTTACCATTAGCTTTGTGACTCTGGATTCTAAAGCATTGGCCAACTTTCAAAAGCTTTCTAATTTTAAAAATATGTATACATTTATACACTTATGTAGCTGTACACTTTCCTTACCTTGGAGCTGTGTTGTCTTGTCACCCTGGCTGAGAAGGTTCTCTACGGTGACCACCTGCTGTCCGGGAAGAATACCTGAGATAAACTGCTTCCCTCCCATGTTGCCTCCCATCCCTACGCTACCCGGCATGGCCTGTACCACCTGCAGGTACCAAACTTTGATTGTTAGGCCTACATTCACTGTTACTGATTGTGCAGATGTTTACCTCTGTCAGTCTGGCTATGTATATGTTTGTCTTGTCTTGACATGTTTTGACTTGATCTGATCTGACTTGTCTGTCTGTCTGTCTACTCCCATTTTCTTTACAGTTTTAGAGTCAAACATTCATCACATCTAATTAATGCCTTTCATGTCAGTCTGAGTTATAAAAGTTAGAACAGGAATATGAGAAATAAGATAAACTGGGTGGGAAGGCAAAACAAAATTAAAAAAGGAAAATGAGGGGGAGAAAGCTCCCATAAAATGAAAATAATAACCCAAAGAGATATGAGTAACTAAGAAAACAAGGGAGATAAAGGAAAAGGATAAAGCAATGAAGAAAAGGTATATGAAATGAAAGTCTACGATGATAAAAAGAAAACAAAACACTATAAGACTAGACCAAACAAACACATTAATATAAATATAATGATTTTAGTTCTTTTACAAGATATCACCAAACATTTCCTGCCACAATGTACTGAAATATGTCTCTAAGCTATCTCAATGGAATTCATATCTTCATGGTAGGCTACCTTCTCCAATCACTCATTTTATATGTGTACTTATATGAATTTGACAAGCAAGGATTTCTCGAACATAGTTAACATTATAGTGGAGGAAAGATATAAGGCAAATATTTTGAACTGGAGATTGCAGTACCATGTTTTTAGTTATCATAATGCTACAGGAACAAGTACTTATCACTACCAATATCTTCATGGTATATTAATTCTGCTTATAACCTTAATTTATGTATTGCATCTAGTAAAAGTCATATTTTTTTTTACAAAGATCCTCTACAATACACTGCAATTATAGGCACCCCTAATATTTTTTTCTAAATCTATATTTTGTTTGACACATTGCTACCAGATTTTCTTACCTTCCCTCCCTGTACCAACACTTTGCCATCGACCATGAGTGTCTGCAGCTTTGTTATAGAATTCACGACCACTGGGTTATTTGATCCACTACTCTTTCCTGCAATGGATAAATAAGAATAATCAATAAAATGTAACATTGTGAAAGTTCTGAAAGTGTGATTAATACAAAGAAATACCAAAGTATGTACCTGCTACTTGTTGTGGAGTAGCCTGTAGTAACTTGAAACCACCAAGAGAGATGAGATTGGCTTTCTGTGCTGCTGTGGTGGCCATATTCACCACAGTTGCAGTGTTGGATATCTTTCCTCCTGAGACACCGCTAACCTAGGGGACAATTCAGATGTCTTAAGCATAAATTCATATTTAACTAACATAGAAATATCTACTGGCATAAAGAGAAAAAAGAAATACAGAAAATAGAAGACATTAAACAATAAAAAGAAAATGTTTTGAAAATATATATATTCATGAAAGTCAGAATCAGATGTTGGTATAACAAGAGGCAGGGGCCTTGCCTGTGATGCCAGAGTCGACTGAGTT